TGTCCGAACACGCCATGTCTGTAATCATTACGGATAAGGTCAGTAAAAAATTTTACCTTCTGTAAAACAGTCTGGAGAAAATACCTCAGGTAATATTAATCCCATGCGAACGTGATCCATATTTATTTCCTACTTAAATGATACTTGCAGTTTACTCAAAGATGCCTTATAATTTTAATATATTTAAAGTTTATATGTATGGATAGAAAATTCAGTTATATTACAAAATAATATCTCTCAAAGGCAGAAATTCAGATAGGCCCCAATAGGGGACACATACACACACTAGAGTGTGGCTACCCGATCTGAGCCCGACGGTACCCAACGTGTTGTTCCGGGTTCGGTCAAAAATGTATAAATTGTATTCGGGCTCGGGTTGGATTCGGTCAGCTTTCAGTGAAAATGTAGTGTAAAAATAAATAAAATCCTATTGTCTGTCCTGTTTATTGCTTGGGGACTGTTATTTACGTGACAACACCTGAACACAACACACACAGACACACATTGGCTGTTTGTTTCTACCTCTCTCCTCGCTGGAAGTCTCGGACCTCCAGCCGACCGCCTCCACCTTGATTAAAAGCTGAAAAAAAAATAAAAGAGGGAGACAGGTTTTTACTATATTATCTTATTTTGTTATATTTCTCCCTCTCCTCTCGCTGGAAGCGTCGGACCTCCCGCCTCTCCCTCTCCGCGGAGCACCCACGGCGCATGCCCGGCCTGTTAAACAGCCTGTAACCACTGTGTGACACAAACTCAGTGCTTTAGTAATTAAATAATATCAGGCTCGGTTCGGTTTCAGACATAACAACACAGAATGACTGTCAGGTTTGGACAGAAATATGCAGCCGTGCCGCACTCTAACACACACACACACACACAAAAGGAAAACCGGACATTATCATCAATTTATAAACACCCCCCGGACGACCCGGACAGGACGGGCAAAAGAGGACGTTTGGTCAGCCTACCATATTTCGTCACGTCCTGTTTACAACCATTTTTCTGTGTTTACAACTAGTTTTCCGTGTTTTTCCGATGATGGAGGCGCTTGAAGAAGCATTCAGTCGTGACAGTGGACATTCTTCTAATGATGGCGTAGCCCTACGTGGGAGACCAATCAAACAAGTCGAGAAGAAAGCACTTTTCAGAGCCGCAAGACTTCTGGTTGTGTTAGGTAGGCCTAATATGAATCTTTATTGCTAATCGTTGTGTACACACAATCCTGATCATGGGCAATAATTCATATTAATTGTTATTATCCTTCAGCTGATGCTTACAGGACGCACATGCCGACAGGGAGGTGACGCCAGGGCGCAAACCGAGTTACCACCCATCTCTGGTAGAATTACGGAGATTTCTTGTCCCCTGCGAATCAGACATTTATATTACAGACATCCTGCGGTGAACTGACATTAGTCCACATCCCGATGTAAAACTAATCCCGCCCGAATAGTACTTAACATTACTCAGATTCACAGTGTCTTAAAACCAGATGAAACTCACCTGACAAAACACAGGCAACTGAATCGAGGGAACTAGTCCATTACCCAGTTAGCAGCGTGTTAGCTAAGCTAGCACATTGTCATATGGTCTCTCTGAAATCCACTGCAGAAGTTCAATTTTTTTAACATACTCGAAGCAAAGTCCAAACTGAAATATGACAAAGGGGAGGAGTTTCACAGGCAGGGAAAATACAAATATATTTCCGACCATCTGCTACACTATGAACCATCCAGACCTCTCAGGTCTTCTGCGACAGGTCTGCTTTGTGTCCCCAAAATCACGAATAATATGGAGAAGCAGCATTTAGTTTTCATGCTCCACATATATGGAACAAACTCCCAGAAAACTGCAGGTCTGCACCGACTCTCACTTCTTTTGACTTCTCTGTTTGCAGCTGCCTTTTATTAAATCAATTATTTATTAATATCTTACACTGCACACTCATTTTTATTATTCAAATACTTTTATTGTTTTAAACTGCACTGTAACTTTATTCTTGTATTTTTTTAGTCTTTTTTTATATTGTAAATCATTCAGTAATTCATTTTGCCTCTTTTTCTCCTCTTTTACTGTAAATCTGTTTCCTTTATTATGTTTTATATTTCACTGTTCTGTAAAGCACTTTGAATAGACCTGGTGTATGAAATGTGCTGTACAAATAACGATAGATAGATAGATAGATAGATAGATAGATTAACAAAGTCATACAAAATATTTCAAAAACATATATTCACAGTCAACATGTACCAACATACAATTTAACAAAACAAATGTGAAGTAAACTAGGAAAACAACGAGAACCATAAATAAATAAGGATTGTCATGACTGTACCTTTTGAAAATCATTTCTTTATACTTTTTTTTAAATTGCTTTTTAAGTTCCCCATTCAGATTGTTCCATATCTTCACTCCTCAAACAGAAATACAAAAACTTTTCCTGGTTGTAGGAAAACTGGGAGTTTTAAAATTAATTAGCCCCTCTTAAATTATAAATTCCTTCTTTTTCTGTAAACATGTTTTGAATATTTGCTACTAGTAAATTATTTTTTGCCTTAAACATCATTTGCGCTATTTTATAATTGATCAGATCAAGTTTTAATATATGTGCCTGTAAGAATAATGGGTTTGTATGATCCTGATATCCAGCTTTGTGAATGATGCGTATTGCTCTTTTTGAGGAATGATTAATGACTGTAGTGAAGTTTTATAATAGCTGCCCCAGACCTCTGCACAGTAACTTAGATATGGTAAAACCAGTGAACAGTACAGAATGTGGAGTGATTTGTGATCTAAAACCTATTTTGCTTTGTTTAATACTGCAATGCTTCTTGATATTTTGGAGAGGATATTTTTGATGTGTAATTTCCAGCTGAGTTTTTCGTCTATTGTAACACCAACAAAAATTTATTTACAGAAACTTGCTTAATCTTAATCCCATCTACCACAATATTTATTTGGGTACCTTTTCCCAAGTTCCCAAATAACATGCATTTTGTTTTGTTCAAATTTAATGATAGCTTGTTTTTATCAAACCATATTTTTAATTTACACATTTCTGAAGTAATCTTTTTGTAACTGACAAACATCATCTCCGGAACAAAAAATGTTTGTGTCATCAGCAAATAAAACAAGTTAAAATGTTTCAGACACACTGCATTAATCATTAGTATATAGAATGAACAATTTAGGGCCCAAAACTGACCCCTGGGGGACACCACAGGTAATGTCCAAACATGAAGAGCAACAATCACCCACCTACATAAACTGCTGCCTGCTAGACAAATAACTTTTCACCCAGTTGAACACAACCCCCCTGATGCCGTACCTTTCCAACTTTTTGATTAATATGTCATGATTTATGGTGTCAAATGCTTCCTCATTTTTATAACACGTCTGTTGCTCTGAACGTCTGATAATGACATGGAGCCCGGTCTCACTCAAAAGTCGTCAAAATCCGGCGCTTGTGCAGTGACTTGCACCTTCAGGAACCAACGATAAAAGGTGTCCTTTAAGGTCGGCATGATACGTGGCTGGGTGCCCTTATAGTTTAATGGCGCCTGGCGGCATCAGGGGGAAACGTGGCGGAACAAGGACAAAAGTTAATGTGGTGAAAGTCCGACTGGATGGGTCCAACAAACACCAACCTTCACCTGAGAAAGTGGTGTTCACTTCCTGTTCTTTTTTCCTAAACCCAACCACGTGTGTGTGTTGATGAAGGGAAAAAAAAGTCAATTTACAGTGTTGTACCGACGTAGTGCTTTTATTTTGAAAGAGACTGTATGCAAACTATACATTTCCTGTGAAAACAGAAGTGTATTTTGAAAACAGACAATACATGTAACAGGCTGAAGTTGACACAGCGTCCCAGAACGTCAACAACCAACACACCCAGGGTACCTTGAACGTCACATGTGGACGTGGAAAGTCCATGACCAAACGTGGACATGTGACGAGGTCGCAGTGAGAATGTGATGTGGATGTGTTTCCACTGGAGTTGGTTAAAGCCTGGTGCATCTCATACAGACACTAAAGGGTGCTCATATTCTTTGACGCCCTTGGAGTGAGTCCAGGCTGCAGATATCTTCCTTAATCCCAGCAGGAAAATTTAAGAAAAGATCTTTGGTGTCACAGTCACAGAGCTGCTGCTTTTCCTCTGGATGTTTGCGGATTAAAAATACTCCGGAGGAAACAGATCGTGTGATTGAATTGGAAAGTGAGTCCCATTCTATCTAAAACTAATTATAATGATTTAATACGGAACATGTTATGAAGATTTAAGAGAGGTAATGTTGCGTGAAATGAGTCGACTAAACCCTGACATTTTCTGGTGTTCAGATGAAAAAACAAAAACTGCAGTGTTTGTTTATCTGATAAGTTTATTAACTTTGTCTCAAAAGAAAAAGAAAAGATGGATAATTGAATTCAGATTTCTCCAGGATTATATAATCAATATTTTTGTCAGTGATGTATAAATTTAGTTTGCTGCTTGTGTCGTCGTGTGGGCGCCGTTATATTTATGACGCTGTTATGAAAATGTAATTCATCCTTCAACAGGTTAAACATATGAGCGAGCTGCTGCAGGGTGGAGGCAGCGGTCACTTGTTTAACATCACACATACATAGACGCGTGTACTGTTGCCATGATGACGCCTGCATACTGTACACACACACACACACACACACACACACACAGCAGCAGTATGTTTTCTTCTCATCTCTTCCTCTCACATGCAGATCAGAAACACACACACACATGCATGAACACTGACACGTGCACAGCTCTATAGAAACACCTAATACATTAAGTATTCATATATGCGCGTACACACAGCAGCACGCTGTAATAATATCATCCAGATCCTCTTACCGTTCCTTCAGGAGATTATGTTGATTTATCTGCAGCTCTGATGTGACGCTGATTGTTTCGGTACATTCGTGATGTTTGAGAACACGTGGAGCAGTAAATAGAGTTATCATGATGAATGTGTGTGTTGCAGCTCTGATCCATGTGAAACTGTGGGCCATCGACCGTCAGTGTTTCCAGACCATCATGATGAGAACTGGACTCATCAAACACGCCGAGTACATGGACTTCCTCAAGAGGTGAATGCAACTCACGAGCAGGTTCAAATCCCTGCGAGACGATCAGTCAGCATGTTTACATGACATCAGAGGAAATTGATTTATTGTGTTAGAACAACTAAAACCAGACTATTAGGGTGCTGTCAGCCCTAGAGTCGTCTCCTTTGGTCTGAATCAGGGACTCATGTTCCAAAGTTGTATAATTGTCTAGAGTTGGTTCGTGTTCTCGTGGCAGCATTTACAAGAGGACCAGATCAAATGCCTTGTGTGAGAAAGCTGCTCTTGATTGGTCAGAATTTCCATGTGGGAAAAATCCAGGAAGTAAAGCAAATGTTGATTTTAGCGCTGCTCATCGTGGACTATATTGCTGTCATTGTTCATTTTAGTCAAACCATACAGTTTGAAAACGAGGCGCGGCTCCAACTAGAAAACAATGTTTTGATGCATTGGATGTGCTGAATGTGCATATTAAGGCAGTACAGGAGGAGGTGCACATTAATAATCCTCCAGGACTGTAACATGCTCATGTTTAACCCAAACAATGTGTCATGTGACTGCAGTTGATTCACATCCAGGTAGCAACACCTTCTAACCACAAATGAACCACAACCATTTGTAATCTCTCAAGACAGATTCTGTGGGCAGCCCTGTGTGAAAGACGACTGGGGGGGCTTTGAGTTTGAACGATGCTGCGCTTTAGCCAATCACAATGGAGGGGGCGTGGCCGAGACGTGCAGGTGTCCCCAGGAAATGTGTACCTACAGAAACAGCAAGATCCGCGTCCATAGCGACCGCTCCACCCAAAACACCGTCTCGTCAACGTGAAAAAAAATTTTTTCCAGCGGATGTCTGAGTTACAACATGATTGAGCTAACTGGAGTAGTTTCATGTCGTATCTGACACCGGGAGGCTTTTAACAGATGACGTCCTGATGTTAGCTTTGCTAACTGTCCCTGTCAGCTGCAGCCACTGATGCTTTCTAGACATCGTGATTTCCCAAAACTGAATAAATCCCACACATAGCAACACAAAACTGCTTTGCTAGCTCAATCACGTTGTAACTAAGATATCCGCTGGAAAAAATATTTTATTCACGGACTGTTTATTGAGTTAATACCTTATTTTTATACAGTCTATGGTTATTACAGACACCGCTAACAGCTAACGTTAACAGCTAACGGTTAGCCCAGCTAATCTACGATAACCATGTTATTAATTACAAAACGTGCACATGGAAATAGTAACGTTTGTTCAATCATTGTGTTTATAGACTTTACAAACATCAGATTAGTCTACACGGTGATATAGTGACGTGAAAAATGTGATATATAGCTAAACTCTGCTGGTTTTCTACCCAAAGTATTTGTAAACAACATGGAGATTCCCTGGGGGCACAGCCGGAAGTGAAGGGCGTGAGCGATCGCTGAGGCCTCTGCACTTCCGTTAGTCGAAAAACTCCGGGCTGTGCCTCCAGAGGTAAAGGAAGAAAAAAAAAAGTTGTTTTTTGTTTTTTTACCGATGGATTTCCAGATTGCACCATTTGTAACCGGACTGAGACCACCTCTTCAAGAAGGTCTCAATCCGGTTGTTTTGGTGTGTTCACACCTGCACTAACGAACCGCACTGAGGAGACAAACGAACTTGAGTTCGACTGAACCGAATGAAACAGGACAGCTGTGAAAGCAGCATTAAAATCCATGTAAACATGTTAGTTGACTGAAATTGTCCTGCCTGATCTAACGCCGTGCTCAATTTATGGTGACAGGTAACAACTACAATAACGTAACATTTGTTAGATAGTACTTGTGTTTTGTCCAGAAACATACAACCAAAGCACAAAGCAGAAACAGAGCCGATGATGAACAGAAGAAACAGTGTGATAAAGAAAAAAAGCAAAACAAAGAATCAAAGTCTTTCTCTCTCTGCAGCGTTCCCACCTTCCAGGGTCTTCCAGAGGAAACTCTCAGTAAACTGGCAGACGTCATGGAGGAGGTGAGAGTCATCTCCACCTCCAAACATCCTCAAACCACCACGATTACTGTGAGAATTAAAACCGCACTGTGAGCGGAGATTGAGAGAAATCATCAATGGACTCCGGCTGAAGCTGTGAAACTCTTCCTTCACTCAAAACACAAAACATTTTAATTAAAAAAAAGATCAGAACAAACTCACAGTGTGAATCCTCTTCTGTCTGTTCAGACTCATTATGAAGATGGAGAGTACATCATCAGACAGGGCGCCAGAGGAGACACCTTCTTCATCATCAGCAAAGGAAAGGTAACACAAACCGTCCTCTCTGTCCTTCTATTGATTATTGTATTGATCTGCTGATTCTGATCACGGTTAATCACACGTTCTGTCAGGTAAATGTGACCCAGGAGGATCCGGCCAGTCAGGAGCAGACGCACCTCAGAGAGCTCAGCAGGGGGGACTGGTTTGGAGAGAGGGCGCTACAGGGGTAAGATCATGTGACCTCTGACTCCGAGTCCTGAACCTAAAGCTAAATAAACTATGTTATGATTCGAGTGGACTGCTGGGAGAAAACTGCAAACTGTCTGCACCTCCTCCTGGCTCTGTTTGCACTTTGGACAATCACGGGTCATTTCAGGAAGAGGGCATTCCTATTTTCTGTTTGGGCGGTGGAGAGTCCTGCAAATCAACTCTCACACATCACACCTATTTTGGCATCCCTGCGTTGGCTTCCTGTCTCTTTTAGAATTCATTTCAAAGGTCTTTTAATCACACACAAGGCTCTCAATGATCTGGCACCACAGTATGTAACTGAGCTCCTCACTCCTTACACGGAGTCCGCTCCGCTTATAGTACCCCCGGGTCTGTGAGCACCTGTGTCTGCCTCTTCACCAAGCGCACAGTGAGCAGGAGAGAGAGGGGGGTGGGGACTGAGCTAGGGGGTGCGAGTGCCAGGGTGGTGACGGGGAGTCGATAACGGTGGACAATTTAGTCTCGAAGAAATCAAAGAATGCGCCACTATGGCAACACTTTGACTTTGAGCCAGACGAAGGAGGCAACCCTTGTTTGCACTGATTGAGTAAGCTGCAAAATGTATTTGTAAAGAATAAAAGAAACAACTTGTTACTGTCACTCTGTTGTCCTAAGGTCATTTTTTTATTTTAAATGAGTCAATTGCGCCCCCAAGTGGCAAAAATCCGGTATTACTGACTTGATGTGTTTTTTTTACAAAAACCGGACCATTTTTTTTTTCTCATACCGACCCAACCCTACTTTTTACCTCGATAAAATTTGGATCGTTATTTCGTCCCCCCTTTCAAACAAGCTCGCCCAACAGGGCGTCAGGTCCTCAAGTGTGATATGATACCTATGTCTTCGCTGACTTCCCCAAGACAGGGGGCCTGGCGGGCAGCAGCTCCAGAGACAGACCCCCAGTCAGCAGCCACAGCATTCTGAATCCAGCCAGCACAAACCCCAGCTCTGGGGACCAGACAGTCTTGACTTCCCGCTGGATCAGCAAACTTTCTGTTACTGCTGTTACACATTTTAGACCCAGTGCTGCTGCTGGCCACCAGCTCGCTGTGATACCCCGCTTTGGGGGTTGCTGCTGGCTGAATTTGAGGCGCTACAGCTGCCAACTGAAGATCTGTCTCCAGAGCTGCTGCCCGCTTTCTTCATGGGGAAGCAGTCCACAGTGGCAGGGAGCGAGGCGGAGGGACTGTGGGGCGGCTAGCAGCTAATTATTGTCTCATTTGTGGTCTGATAAACAGAGAAAGAGACAGAGAGGGGCTGAGCTGCTCGCAGCTGTGCACTGAAATGAGATTAAATAAATCAGTGTATGGGAAACACTGGGTTACTTTATGAAGTGGGTGCATGAGCCCGTGGGCGTCTGGTGGGAGGGGCTGAGGACAGAGAGGGGAGAGCTGCAGATTTCTGCCTGCCCCAGTTTTAAACCTTAACCCCTAAGCTTCAGTAACACTGTGGGCAACAACCTGACCCCTGTTTTTAAGTCTTCATTTGTTTCCCTTTGTTAAAGTGCCTCTGTTTACAGTGTGCTGAATGATCCATCAGCAGCTCCCAGCAGTGTCCCCATCAGCGTACAGACGACCATCACTGGATCACTGTGATACTGAAGGAAACTTAAGAACGTGATGATTCTCAGTCAACACCTGCAGCGTCTTTTTTCTATTTCTATATAGTGAATTAATGGATGTTTATTCCCGATGGACATTAACGATAATGATGTCCTCAAGGAGTGAAACTCACACTGAATCTAAAAATATGTGAATAAGATTTGTGTGTGTTCAAATTCAACTGAGTTATGACTCCAAGAAGGAGGCAGATCTTTGACGCTAACTAAACACTTGTTGTTCTCAGTATTTTAGGTTTCCTGCATCCTTCTGTTGTTTCACCTCACACTGTGTCTTTACCTCATGTCTCTAACTGCAGCGTCACTAACAGAGACCACACCAGTAAGATAAAGATTTTAATGAGTTATTGCATATGATGGATTATGGGTTCTGAGGAAAGCGTGAAGGGGTGAGGATCGAGGGATTAGGAATGAAAAGATGTGGATGGGGGAATGAAGGGATTAGGGTTGAGGGTCGAATGGATGCGGGATGAAGGGTTGAGGGTCGAATGGATGACAGATGAAGGGATGAGGGATGAAGGGTTGAGGGTCAAATGGATGCGGGATGAAGGGTTGAGGGTCGAATGGATGACGGATGAAGGGATGAGGGATGAAGGGTTGAGGGTCAAATGGATGCAGGATGAAGGGTTGAGGGTCGAATGGATGACAGATGAAGGGATGAGGGATGAAGGGTTGAGGGTCGAATGGATGAGGGATGAGGGATGAAGGGTGGGGGGTCGAATGGATGAGGGATGAAGGGTTGAGGGTCGAATGGATGAGGGATGAAGGGTTGAGGGTCGAATGGATGAGGGATGAAGGGATGAAGGATGAAGGGTTGAGGGTCGAATGGATGCGGGATGAAGGGTTGAGGGTCTAATGGATGACGGATGAAGGGATGAGGGATGAAGGGTTGAGGGTCGAATGGATGAGGGATGAAGGGATGAAGGATGAGGGATGAAGGGTTGAGGTATGAGGGATGAAGGGGTGAGGGTCGAATGGATGAGGGATGAAGGGATGAAGGGTTAAGGGTCGAATGGATGAGGGATAAAGGGTTGAGGGTCGAATGGATGAGGGATGAGGGATGAAGGGTTGAGGGTCGAATGGATGAGGGATGAAGGGGTGAGGGATGAAGGGTTGGGGGGCGAATGGGTGAAGG